CTGACCTAAGAAGAACACAAGTAAACTGAGCACTTGGTTACAGACAAATGTCAAGTCCCCACAAAAGACAATCCCAAATCCTTCTCCACTGTCTTTTGACCTTTTTGACCTGTAACATTCCCTTCAAGCCCCCTTTTTATTTCTCATGACTTTTTCTCCATCTCTTTCAAAATCTTATTTCACTTCCATTCATGATCTGTGCCTCCAACCTGCCTACTACTGTTATCTCATTCATTGCCAGGGCAGGATTCAAATGTCACACGCAGAGGAAACAGCAACTGTTACTATGAAAATCTGCTAGATAAAAGAAAGAGAAAGCAATGGCAACAGCACACTGTGTAGGTGGGGAAAGTAGTTACTGGAGGGAGAATGTATGGAGACCCTCAGCTCATCCTGGGGTTACCCAGTATCCATAGTTAGCTCTCTGACAAGCCTGTTGTATTGGTAGATCACAGTATCAATGAACACTGCTCAGCCAGGTCCTCCCCTTTCTCCTTTTTCTTTGAAAGGAGGATAAAATCCTTCAAGACTCCTAACAGAAAGAAGATGCACACTGAAGGAGATATGCTGGGTATGTACATCCCCTCTCCTATCCCAAAAAACTTGTCAGGGTGAGCAGGGAGGGAGGAAAACAAGAAACAGGCTGTATGATGGGTTCCTGAGATGAGGCACTGTCTATAAAGACATGTGGCCAACTACTATGCTGCTCCCACACAGGTCAAGGGCTGTTTGCATGTCAGGGCAACTGCCCCTTACTATAATGGGTCACCCAGAACACTTTTACCTTGTAGACCTTGGAGAAGAAGCCACTACCTATTATCTCAGCGTTGAAGTTTTCCCAGAACTCCAGTTTCCTGACAGCCGTGCGGAGCCTCTGCCAGCGGTCAACGTGGTAGTAGGTATCAGATGATTCGCCATAGTACTGGATGGGGCTAGAGGGCTCCGGTGTGATCAGCCCTGTCTCGCACATCGTGGGGCAGCAGCTAAAACACAGCATATTTTACAATAAGCCAAAAGCAGCACTCACATGTCAAACACATAACTGCACTAGATAGCTGATCTGGATGAAGCTTCAGGAGTGATAGGAGAGGATTCAAGCCACTGCTCAGCCATTAAGTACCCAGAGCCACATGTTGTGCTAGAAGCATTGGCCTTCTCTCTGATAAATCACCTTGGGCTTAGAATTGCTTTATGCAGATTTTATCTGGACTTCTTTAGGATTTAAAGATGTCAAGCTACCACAGGTTCACTTATACCTTTTAAGGGTCCAAGATGGATAGGATGCATCATTTTCAACACGTTTCAAGATCCCAGGAAAAGTTTGCCTTGTTCAGCTTGTTTATGTTGGACTAAAATTGATCTTGTCTAAACTGGACTTTTAATAAAGGTCACTCAGCACATACTAAAGCACAACGGTTAGCCCAGAGCTCAAGGCAGGACTTAGCCACCATTGCAGGCAGAGGCTGGGGGCTTTGAGTGTGCTAGCCTTATTCAGGCTAGCAGGTGCTTTCTGTCTGTTAAAAGCCCCGCAAAAATCTCTCAGCAAGGAAATGCCCAGCATCCCTCTTTAACTCTGCATTTCAACATATTCTTCTTTTCTTCCCATCCTGAATCTGTCTCCAGCCCTCCAACTCTCTCTTCAAAATTATCTTCCTTTTCCACTGTTCTGATTCTCATGGTTTCTTCTACAAACCCCTTTTTCCATTCCTATTTTTGCTTTTTACAGCATCAAATTCACACCCTTCCAAGGCTTTATGCCATGTCCCCACCTCTAACACACCACTTGCTTTCAGTTATTTCCAAAGACACAGGCAAAGTAAAGCCAGAGGGAGTAGAAAAGGGACTTCTGACACTTTGCCCGACTGAGGACTGAATCATGCACTTTCTTCTGGGTAACTTTAAACTATCATTTGTCTGCTACAAAGCTGTCAGAACTGTTTTCACTAAAAGTAGGTGTTCATAGATATATCAGATTGCTGTGTTCCAAGATCTCACCTAGTCTTTATAGTCTGCCACTAATAGTATTTGCAACTGCTGTTTTGCCAAACTGTAACCAAATGATAAGACAGCCAACAGAAGTGTAATTTTTCAGAGTCTCTAGCTGAAGCAAAGTGCTACCTTCCTAAATTCCGGTCATAGATATTGCACTGAACAGAGCTGTATCAGCATTCCTTGATCTGCTGGATTACTTTAGGGTTTCATTGCTGATACATGGCTAGGCAAAATCTACACTGACACACACATAAAACACTTGCAGTAGCAGCCTCCTCCACCCATAGTCCGTCAAAGTGAGTATCTCCTCCAATTCCCAACATGAACAGAAAGAAAGATCCAGGCAGTAACTCAGGGAGCTGCAAAGCAGAGGAATCGAGCAAAATTTCAGAAAGCAGGTAGGTGCCAAAGCTTCCAACACCAGACTATTCCCCCATGGACTGCAGAAACCCAGTCCCATCAAAACCAACAGGACAAATTGTCTCCTACTTGATTTCATGGCAAACATCTACTGGAATGAGGCTAAGGAACTGCTCATGAATAGGGAAGGTCTCGTGTCTACCAGCCAGGGAGCCCAAAAAGTGGTAGTGTGCACTTAAATCAGGCAGAGAGGATGAAAGAGGTAACAGGGACAGAGATTTAAACCAGCTCTGACTCATGGACACAAGTGTGATGAACCTCCTTCAATGGCATACACCTGCAGGGATCTCCTAGGGCTTTTTCTTAGGAAGGTCGCTGCTCCTGAGAGCTAGCACTGAAAGAAGCCAATGTCAGTCCCCACCTCATACAGCTCAAGCCTAAGCACTCTGCAATACATTGATGCCAAGAAGAGGCTTGCACAGAAGCAAGGGGCAGAATCAATCTGATGAAACAATCACATTCGACCCTGCTAAGGCCACCTTGCTCTGGATGGGACCACTGAAATGTCATTCAGACCTCACAAGCAGCTGTTTCTCTAACATGTAAAATGGAACTATTTTTGCAGGGCTTGGGGCAGGGGTGAAACAGGCAAGGCACTGGCACATGGCGATGGCTGGGGGGAGCAAGGGACTTTTTTTTAGCCTAAGGCTGTGGACACTGTTGAGTGTCATGAGGCATGAGAGGGGACAGCGAGCAGTGCTGTACAGTGAGGCAATGAAATGTAGCAGCTGTCCTCCATTTCTGACACACCTGGCCAGCACACAGAGATGCTGACAGGGCCTGATGGATCCTGCAGAACCCAAACCACCAATGAATGGCACAGAGTCATCCTGAGGATCGGCAAGGCCTCCCAGTATCAAAGGAGATGCATTCTCCAGGCTTACCCAGCTCCCTCCTCAGTCCTGGGTCATAGAGGGTTGTTCTCTCCTGTTCTGAGGCTGCAAAAAGTCATGGAGCAAGGCACAAGCTTACTCTGGAGCACTGGTCATTCACTAGCAGAGCTGGGGCCCTCTAGCTGCTGCTCTGACCACTAAACACACCGGCACTTCTTCGGAAGGCTCTGAAAGTGCTTCCCTCAACATTAGCAGGCTTTAGCAAAAACAAAAACAAAGAGGGGGTGGGGGAAGAGCTTTTGCTCCATAGACCAGCACATCTGCAGGTGCTCCTCTCTTCCACCAGCCTCACCAGAGCTTGTCCTGCCTCCAGGATCACGGAGCACCACCACGACAGGTCCCCTCAGGGCAAGGCTGGCTGCCAGGGGGGTGCCCCTTCCTCAAGGAACTGCTTTCTTTTCAGAGGCCTCTCTGTTCTGAGCTTTTCCCATGTACCATCCCTTCCCGGCCTGACCCAGTTCGTCAATTACCTCTTTGTCCACGAAAGAATTCCGTCAGTATCCTCAGCATGCTGGAAACGGCCCCTTGCATTATGCTGCAAGAGTGGGAGCCGACTCTTTCTTTTCTTTTTATAAACGCGACTGTTTGTCCCCAGATTAGTGCTGACATGAGGCTGGGGGAGAAAATGCCATGTAGGCTGGGGGAGAAAATGGCCTTTTGAAATGCCAGGATTTATTTGAAGGCTCCCTAGGATCTGGGGAAGGAGGGGGAGAGGGTGGGAGAAGCACTCAGAGGAGTCTCAGGGAAAAAAGCCTGCAGGCAACACGAGGGAGGGCATCAGGGCAAAGCACATCCTCACGTCACCATGGAGGCTTGCAGCATCCAAAGCTATGCTTTTGCATGAGCAAGCAAAGCACTTGAAGCAGCTGTCTGTATCCTTGGTGCTTCCAGCTATCCCCTGCTGGAATTCAGTCCATGCAGGAGGAACAGACTTGGCTGCAGGAAGAGAGGCCAAAGCCAGTGCCAAAGTGATTGTCTCAGTCCAGCCATGTCAGGCTGCCCCACCGCGGCAGAAGAGTTGCTCTTTGCCTTGGAGGCTGACACTTCTGCAGGGAAGGAGGAAACGCAGGGGGAGGCCTTGGTTCTGCAGCCTCCTTCCCACTCTGTGGCCAACCTTCCCACATCCCCAAGCCTTATGCAGCTGCCAGCATGAGCAAGGAAGTCCCCATATGCAGGGTAACCAATAGGCACCTCCCAGCTCCTCCTGGGGTTAAGGTAAGCAGCTGAAATAAAAATTAATAAATATTTTTTTTTTAAAAAAAGAAGGTTGGAATGGACTCTTCCTCCCTTCACCTGCCAGAAACCCAATTCTCCTCCTTTGCCATGTTTCCTAGGACTTTTCTTGACTTTTCTTCTTATTTTGAGGAAAGAAAGACTCTTCTCCCCAAAGACACTTTGCTTCTTCTGCAAAGACACCTCTGCCCATAACTGGGAAGGTGGATTATTCACAGAGATTGTCCTGGATGGGGAAGCCAAGTGGCTTGAGCCTTGCTCAGGGGAGCAGTATGCAAAAGCTATCGCTATCTGGTGCTTATTAACGTGCCATGCAAAAACGATCTGTGAGAGCAACCGTGCTATACTCAAAACATCTTTGCTAGAAGAGCATGGCCAGCAAGGGCTGTGTCAGATACAGTAGGACTGAACGAGCCTATGGTAGGATGGATGGCAGTAATTGTATCTATGGGCAACAGAAGGTCTTTTGCCTGCAGAACTCCTGTGAGCAAATGGGCTCCCCAAGCAGTACAAAATGTCCCATCTAGCTGGGACACTTCCCAGAAGGAGCAATGCCTCTTTCCCCTTCCCAGAGCTGCTTGCAAGACTCTTGCCCCATAACAGCCACGCAGGCTTTTCTGAGGAACAACAGGATCAACGACAACAGTCCCTGGCTCCAGGTTATCAGCAGTCAGCTGCATCCCCTGCCAGCATGATGCACACAGCAGCACTCTCATGCTCTCCAGGCCTCTCTGAATGAGTGCCCAGAGAGGAAGGCTTTCACTGCACCCAACAGGCACATGCTGGAGGCACTTGCTCCTGGGCAAGCATGCCAGGGTGGAGCCGAAGCCACTATCACAGGTGGCCCTTGCAGGCCCCCTGGGCCATGCCAAAGCTGTTACCATGCGATCCTAAAAACACCAGAGCCAGAAGCATTTGACCAATCCAGGGGATTTTACACTCATTTCTGTTCATTAATTGTAAAGCAGGGGATTCACAAGAGAATTTTTAAGAAAAGGAGGTGTCACCTTGAAAGAAGTGAAAGGAAAACCTGAGCATTTGTGACTGGAGGGGGAAGAGACCTTGGAGTGGGGAAGAGAGGGAGAGCTGTAATCATCCTTCATCTGTTCCCATGAGAGATCACCCTGCCGGCACTGCAGCCTGCACCAAAGCTAGCTGGATTTCCAAACCACTGGGCACAGTAGGCAGCCTGATGGTTTGTAGTGCACATGTATAGTTCACTGAATGCAGATTGATTACATGTCATTAATATATCAATAAATCACTTCAATCCTGATATGACTGCCATCCTTCAGTTTTTCTCCTGCAGCATGTGTGTGCATGATGCCTGCACAACTCACTCCTCAGGCTTCTATGTCCTTCTGCACCTACTTGCTAATGCAGATGGAGGTGAATACTTTGAGTTCCGCAAGTGACAATCCAAAGCAAATGAAGATATGAAGATCACATTAAATGAGATCATCTATACCATCTAAACAAAATCTTCACTAGAACTACTCTGCATTTATGTCTGTACCTGAAGACATGAGGACTTTCTTTCATTCTGTAATGGACACCAGCAAATCTTCTCGCAGCATAATGAAAACACAGTAAGCCAAGGAAAATCAAAACCATTTGCTGACCAGAATCATGTTGCTGATGCTAAAAAAAGGACATCTTTAATTTGAAATCCTGACCCTCAAAATATATATATATAATTAAATATTGTGTGTGTACATATGTATATATACAAATACTTACATATATGTATAACATATATACACATATATATAATTATACACATACATATATATGTACAATTATTCCATGGCCAGAAGGCCCAGGGGAGAGGCTGAAGATAGACAAAAACTCTTCCTGCCTAATGAATGGATGATTTATTCCCCTTAGATAAAACTGTGATGTTCATGAGGGTGACGAATGTCAAGAAAAGTCCTACAAACAACAGCTCCTAGGATGACAGGGACTAGCTGACTTTCCACTGATGCCATCATTACACAAGATAGCAATTAGCTTTTTGTAGACATCCTCCAATTACGAGAGAACATCTAAGCTATTTTTTCCTCAGGCTAACATCTAGTATACTTGATCTCTCCAATCAAAAGATATTTTCTGTTGTAAAAAAGAAAAAAAAAAGGCAAGGAAAAAAAAAACCACAGAATCAGGCTCTCCACAGCAGGGACAATGGGATACTTGCATTTCGTTTGAGCATGAGTACTTTTTATATAAAATGAAATAAATAAAACATAAATAAAGAAAACAAGACTGACACCTCAGGAAGAACTACCGGCAGGATAAATCACTTCACTGTGTACATCCAATTGCTGACTAGACAGCTGTCAGGAGGGACAGCCACATGCCACAGGCCTGGCTGAAGTATCTCCTTATCTGGAGAGCGCCAACTCCACAGGCCTGGACCCTGATCCAAGCCTCAGCTTCCCAGTAGTCATCACAGCTCTGATTTCCCAGCTCTGATTCAAACTTCTCCCTTGTCAGATGATAAACAGACTTTAGGAAAGACCTAATATCTGGGGAATCTGTTTCCCCCGTGAGATTTAAACACACAGGAAAATCATGAGACAAGTGACTGTTCAAGTGTCCTTTTGTTCAGGAGAAAAGGTCTCCTAGAGAGCGCACGAGCTGCTAAGCTCCAGCAAACAGGAATTTGAATAATACAGGAAGAGAGGAGGTTCTTGGCATAGGTAAGTATAGGGCTACTATGTTACATAAATCCCTTTCAAAATCTGAATTGCTTAGAATACCCTGGGCACATTATGTAGAGGGAGGACCCAAATGTTAGAAAAGCTAACCTGGATACAATGTTAATTCTATGCACCTTTAAATCGAGATGTATGTTATTCAGAAAAGCAAACTCCCTGAAGAGTACAAAATTTCCAGGTGAAGGTCTATGACTGAAACTGCCTACAAGGGTAAGATAAGCTTTGAACAAGCTCTTCTGGCCTTAAAAAGTCGTCTTTCCTATAGCTTTTAAGAAGGAGAGTAACCTCACATAACTTCAAGCTTTAGCAAGCTACATTTCTGAAAGACAAGTCAATCCTCTGAGATCCCTCCATCACCAGTGGAGAGGTCCTCCAGTGAACTGTTTGACACAATTATCTTACTGTTAATCAATTGTCTTATCGATAAGATAATTGTGTCCAACTGGTCACTCCAACTTCCTCATCTTTATACCTCTGTGAAGTGAATCCAATTTTAAATGGCTTAGGAGTTTCCACTGCTTTTACAGACACAGCAGGCCAGAATGCATAAAGATACATAGGTGGCAATGGTTCAGCCGGCCTCTAGCAGGTTTAAGGTGAGTCAGGCACCTAAATATTTCAAGGACTTGGATACTTTGCCCGGAATTTTAAGAAGGTTCTACCAAATCACCTCTGAAGCTCCCTAACTGCAGTGTGGTGGCATTCCCCATGCAGAGAAAGCAGCAAGCATCTCCCTGCAAATTCATCCATGTTTTGAAGGAAGAGGAATGAGGCAGGAGCATAGGAAAATAAACTCTCCAGGATGGGTGTGGGAACCTGGGAAAGTTAGGAGTGAGAAACTGTGAAAGTTAGGAATGTACTGAATAACAGATTAGCAGATAGAGAAACCTAAAACACAGGCTGGACGCGCCGGTCTCTGGTTGGTGACCTGCTGAGCGGTAGCAGGATTGGACCCAGACAACAGAGTCAAGGAACTGCCTGGAGGCAGAGGGAGGGGGCGCGTGGACAGCGCGGGGACAGTGCATGCTCACATGCTCGGGGAATATATAAGTTCAACCTGATGCTCAGTAAAATGCCTTCTGGTTCTTAGCCTTGAGCCCCTGCTCCCCAGTGCTCCCACAGATGGGCAGCAGCAAAGTCTTTGAATGAGCTCACCTTGCAAAATGGATGACGAACTACAAGGCAGGTGGGTTTCTTTAAAATGGAAAGGTATAGAAGAAAGGAAGGGGAAAAAAGAGCTATAACTCAGCAGTCACAAGCTAAATCCCACACAATTACCTGTCTATCTCTGCTCTTTTTGCTATACTCTTCATACTTTTTTTTTTTTTTTTAATTTTGGAGACTTACTGCACAAGTCCTTGAATTGATGTCATGAGGCATTTATTTCACTGGCATACATAAAACCTATTTTCCCCTGATAGTTAATTGATGCTGCACAAACGAAAAAGCAAAGAAAGGCATGTGGGTGTTTAAAAGGAAGCATAGCACGTGGGAACTGTCATGCATTTGAGCTGACTAGAACATCCCCAGCCCACTCTCTCCATCAAGAAAAACCTATTAGTTGAAGAAAAGATCTGTCACCTTACTACTGAAATGTTTTAGAGGCATCCACTTTCAAACACTGCCAAAAGTGATCACAGTAATTTGCCTCTTGTTAGAGTTCAGCAATCAGGGCTGAAGTCTGTGGAAGGACCTGGAAGGATGGTGGGGGCTGCAGTGCCAAACAGATCTCAAAGGGCTAAAATCCTTGCAAATCCTAATATGCTCCACAGCTTGTGAAAGTCTGGCCCTTTCTCCTGAGGGGTTTCCATAAGTAAATCTCAACTACTCAGTGCGTAGTAGGAGAGCTCCCAGTGGGTTGTCCAGTGGATCCACCAACACAGCAGTACTGGCTAATGTCAGGGAGGAACTGGATGGATCATTAAGCTCTGCTCTTAGAAGTCCAGTTCCTAGGAAAACACTGACCATAATAAACTGAACGAAACGTTTCAAGACCTTTGAAATCTGCAGATGGGCAGACAACAAAGTGAGAACAGTTCTGCTCTAGAAGCTAATTCACATTCCTCCTGGTACAGAAAAGTCCTACAGACACAACAGAGTGCAGTTAAGTTAGCAACTAACTCAGGACACTTGGGTTTCAGGTCTTGCCTGCATCTCCTTCACCAAGCTCGTCACCTTTGCTCGCCTCCACCTTTTTTATCTTTCTTGTCTGCTCATCTAACTGCACCTTTAGTCCAAAGCAAAACGGCCATGCCCCTGAGGCCAGCAAAGGCTGAGTTTTTGGACACATCCCACACTCAGAAGAAAAGAACAGCCTCCAGCAAGCCCCGTCGGAGGCTGGATCAGGTTCATGGCAGCACAGCCTGCCTGTCAGAGTCTATCCAAAGCTTCACCCCTCCTCATGAGGCCAGGGTCCTGCCCTGTGCCCAGGGCCCGAAGAAATGGCTTGTTGCTGACATTAGCCCAAAGCCATGTTAGCATCAAGCTGGCAGAGAAGGGCTGGAGAAAACAGGCCTGCAGGACACGTTTTGCTGAGCAATCTAGTTGCTGACTTGTTTCTTTAGGAAAATCACTCTCTGCAGTTTGCTGGAGTTGACGCAGCACCCACTGCTTGGAGAGAGGCTGATCCTCGGGCTTCTGCATGTCTGCTTATAACTTATTAATTCCCACTGCATTGAAAACATAGCAAAGCAGGATGGAAGGTGTTACATTTTCTAGGGAATCTCAGTAGCAAAGATCCTCTTCTTCCTAACTATCCTTTGCAGCTGGATCAGCTTAAGGAAGAGCAAATCAAGCCCTAGCTCACCAGGCATGGAAAGTACTCTGCTATTGCAAGCCCCAACCCAGACCCAACCTGCCTCAATAGCCAAAGGAGTATAGCAATCAAAGATGATAGATAGACAAGGCAGTCATGCTTTTAGGAGATTCAAACCACCCACTGCTCCCAGAAGGTCTGCTGCAGGGTGTGCTTCCAGCTCTAGGGACAGGGGGTGTGTATATAGGGTTGCCTCCTATGCAATCCTGCACGCAACATCCATGCTTGATTCATGCTCAGGTAAAGGATAAGGCTGATACGTCTCCATGAAAGGATTCTGATCTTCCATCCTCAGCCACAGGATGCCATTGACAACTGTTCCACTTGAGACAATGACAGCAATTCCTAATGATACAGCAAAGGCCCAGAAAGATCCCATGGGGAGGACTGAATATTTCAGTGGGCCGGCACATCACCTCTGAATGCTTAGTGTACAGTTTTACAGTCCGTTCATACGGGGCCAGACCCAATGGCAGGCTGCTCAGCACTCCAGCTGTCCCTGGTGTCTATCTCCCGTGACATTCCAGTACTGCACAGGGGAGGGATGAGCGAGCTCGGCTCAGTGATCCAGCTGGGACTTCTTCCTCATGAGAAACCACCTTCCACTCGCGATTGCAATGATGACAAGGGGGAGTTCAGCAGCCAGCCACAGACAGTCCCCATCACCAGCTGCTGGTTTAAGCCAATGTGAAATTTCCCAATTTCTGTTACTTCCATGTAAAATAGACAAATACGAAGAAATTCACTCCAGGCTGATGCCAGACTCCAAAGAAAACACAGGACTACATGGATTACCACCCTTTGAATTAAACTGAGACTTGCTACAACCTGTCAACAACCCACTGACATGGGCAACACACCTTCTCTCACCTGAGTCTGGTAGCTGGCCACCTCTCCATCACCCGCATTTCCCATTCCCAACTCCCAGGAAAGCAAAGTCTCCCATTTCAAGTACGGTGTACTCACACAGTACCTTCAGCGCGGCCTTCAGGCCTTCAGCGTGGGCTCACATCGTATGGCACCAAGCAGCAGCAGAAGATACTGCTAACTTTCCGCTTCATTTACATGGATGTAAATCAGAACCTGAACAAGCTCTTTCTATCTGCTCTCAGGCCAGATATGGTCTAAGACACAGAGTAGAGGGTTCACTTTGTAAATAAGGGTGTAAGAGAGAAATGCACTGTCTGCTGAAATGCAGAATGAGTACACTGCATTTGAAATAAGCCATGGTCCATTTGGGATTCTGCGCATCAGGGCTACCAGGAGGTGTAAAGCTATCACCAGAAGAGAGAGGGCTGTATGTGTCCAGCTAATGCACTAAAACACTATGCCGAATGGCATAGATTGCCATGCCAAAGAACAGAGAGGGAGGAGACACGGCCCTGTTCTGCAGGGCTCAAAGGATGCTACCAAAAGACATCTGCAGATGAAGGTGAAGCCACCAGCTCATCCACAGCCCCATGGGAGAAGAAGAGAGAGCTGTGGTCTCCTCTCCAAGGATCAGAGCTGTGGGGAGAATCTCCTTCCTGCTCTTGCTGTCCAAAAGGACATAGGGAATATGGGATGCATGCTGCACCCTGAGAACAACACAGAACTGGTACCCCAAGAGAGATGTCATCTGGAAGTGCTGATCTTCCTCTAGCAACTCTTAAAGCCACCTACGTAACCTGCTTGGACCAGATGCCTGACCTTTAGAGAGCTAAACCTGGTGAGAAGTCACTCTGAGCCCTAAATACCCAGTCATATGCAAGAGCATCAAAGTGTTAGGAAAGCCCCAGGGAGGTGGATGTTTTTACCACAGTCAGGGGCTTGCATGGATGAACAACCCATGGGACTCTGTCACAAAAAGGTTTATTAAACGTTTGAAGAGTTTCACTCGAGGTGAGAGTCCCTTCCTTGCCTAGTTGTTTCATCTCCTCCCTTGCCCTGGTGCCCTTTCCTATTCAGCCATGCTCAGGCCACTGACAAGTTTCCCAAGTTCTGCAAGATCTAAGACCAAAAATATATATATATATATATATGAATTGTCCTTACTCGTAAGCAGAAACCATTCCTCCTCTTTCTAACCTCCTGAAGAGACTAAAAGAGACCACTTTTCCCTTCTATGGATTTGGAGGGCCAAACAGCTCAGTAAAGGATGCAGAAAACCTTCCCGAGGATTCCCCCATCCGTGCAAGGAGGTGAGCAGACAAGAGTAGCAGCAGTGGTGGGCACACTGCAGTACAGGATTTTAAAATGTGTAATTCAGCAGCACCTTGATGGATTTGACTCATGCTTTCTCATCCTGCCTCTGCTTCATGAAACATTTGCCTGCCCAAGGGAACATCTGCAGTTTAACTTCAATTAACTCTTCATCCACCACAACAGGAAGGGCAAAGCCTCCCCATGCCTGAGGCATGCCAAAATCCACATTCCTCAGCTTTGCCAGGCAGGTTTCCTCCAAGGTGAAGATGCAGTCACTCAGAACAGGGTCTTTACATGCGCCAGTTGCCCTCAGGATGCATTTCTGTCCCTCCACCAGTAGTGGGAAGCTCTGGGGCACCAGCCAGTTAATTCATAGCCTAAAATTGAGTAACAGGTAAGTTCTCCATAAGCTTTCTGTGCCTCAGTTCCCAGTCTGCATGATGGGAAGAACAGCCCAAGCCTTCTCACAGCCAAATTCAATCCAACAGCTTAGCAGACAGGCCACAGGGCTCAGCACCTCAGTGTGAAAGGAGGCAGCTGGTAACAGGTCACCAGGCAGGAGGCATCAGGGCAGCAAACCCAAGTCCAGCAGAGGACAGGGACACATTACTAAATCTGCCGTCGGACCTGGTTTGTCATCCTCACCATCCCAGGAGGAATTTTGCCTGATATAAGCTTAAGAAGCCACTGGCAAATGCTCCCCCTTGCACATTTCCCCCTTCCCAGCTCAAGTAGGATTCTAATAAATATCCAGCAAATAAAGCTCAAATCCAGAAAGAAGATGATTTTTCCCAACTTGAAAGTTAATCATGGTGGTCCCATTGATTCCAGATGGCTCACTCCCAAAGCTGGAACAATCGGAACCAGCAGCTTAAATGATTGATCTTTCCAGGCAACTTAAGACAAGAAGACAAATAATTTAGGGCAAATTTTCTCAGCCCATAGAGAAGAGGGAGAAAATCCCTCTTCTGCTTCTTTGCCTTCTTCCTACAAAAAGCTGGAGCAGAAATTCTTTCAACAAGTTTTGCAGAGACTGCTGTGCTTTGAATGTTTCTCAGTGCTAGAAAAAACACATTTTCAGAGCTCCTATATTTCATTAGGCAGCCTGAACTCAGACACAAGTCATCTGCTCCCACACTAGACAGACAAGGTTGGAGATAATGAATTCTCTTAGCTTACCGGGATTCGAGAGGG